TGAGCTGATTCCTCACAGGCCAGGGAGCGACTGTCACTCCCATTTTGCAAATGAGAACACCCAGGCTTAGTGAGGCCAAGGCCACGCAGCCAGGGGTGGCAGAGCCAGGTCCTACATCCAGGTCTGGCTGACCCCAAGGTTGGTGTGCTTTTGAGCAGGGCTGTCATACCTCCCCTCTCCTTCCAGATAATCGTGTGTGTAGACACGCACGGCTGTCACAAGCATAAAGTATTTTCTGCTCACGCACATGTCCACATGTGTCCCCAGAGTGTCAGAGGGAGAACCTGTCCCGTACCTTCTCAAAATGGCCGCTGCGGATATAGTAGTCGGCCAGGGAGCACCAGAGCTTGCCTAGCTGGTCAGTGAAGCGGGTGAGGCCCCCACGGATGATGGCGTCCACGTTGAGGGACTGCACCTTGTCCGGGTTCTGAGAGATGAGGTCACATAGCTCGTGCCACAGCTACAGGGCATGGGTGGGCAGGGAGGAGTCTCAGTCTCGGCCTGGGGGTGGGGGGGACATGCCTCCCACTTCCATCTCCCCTCCGGCCCACCTGGTAGTTGGACTTGCCGGCCTTGGACACAAAGCGCTCGTCATTCACTACAGTGGCCAGACGCTGTGCGGCCTCATCCAGTCGGTCACTTGACTTGAGGTATTCGATGTACTCCTCTGCACTCTCAGGACTCAGCTAGAGACCCGCCCACACCACCAGCAGTCAGAGGGCCAGCAGGGCCATTCCCCCGTCTCCGCTCAGTGGCTTGGGTCCTCCTGCCACCCACCCACCCCACCTAGCCAAGAGCCAGCCCTGCCATCCCAGCCTCGGCCCTATGGGTCTAGCCTCAGTCCTGACTGGTCCTGTCTTGGTCCCTGTGAGTCCACCTTGATCCCATGGTTCCAGTCTTGACTACAGTAATCCAGCCTCGGCCCCACTATTCCAGTCCCAGGCCTGACTGCTCCAGTCTTGTCCCCAGGGGTCCAGCCTCCATCCTGACTGGTCCAGCCTTGACTCCAGGGGTCCAGCCTCCGTCCTGACTGGTCCGATCTGCAGGCCAGGCCTTACTTCCATCACAAGTGTCCCACCCAAACAGCACTGTGATGAGCATTTCACTACATAGAACAGAGACTACAAGTCTGAGCAAACTGCACCTCATCCTCCCCCAATCAGCACCTCCACTGTCAACTCTGCTTGTCATGTGTTCCCATAGCACTGTCCCTGCCACTCCTTGCCCTCACCATGGCTGCAGTTTTACCCTGTTTTTTTAATTTTTTTTTTTGAGTTGGAGTCTCACTCTGTCGCCCAGACTGGAGTGCAGTGGCCACTCCCGGCCATGCTGCCTCGAC